CTCAGTTCTTTTCGTAGACGATCCAAACCCTTTGCCTCTTCCAAGGCTATCGCTGATACAGACAAGTTGTGTTCGGGTGGCCCCTACGAGCCCGGGGTCTTAGTGAATGACGAGGCTCTGTCCAAGTTTGGGTTCGTCTTCCATGATGAGGACGAGCCCAAGCGCCGGGTTGTCCAGAGTCAACTTGAAGAAGGACCCTCAGGTTTCCCTCGTTCACTTCCTTAGCGGGTAGGGGCTCCTTGGTGGGGATTCGAACTAATATCTTATCTTCCTTGCAGGTGAAATCATGATCTCCGCGGCCGATAGGAAGAAGCTGTTCAAGTCCAAGCCGCGATCGGAGTCCGGCAAAGAACGACCTCCGCTTCCAACCCCCACACCGTCCGCCGAGCATGCCCAGGCGAGTAAGAAGCGCAAGGATGTGAGCTCCTCGATGGAAGGGGCTTCGCTGAGCGGGGCGAGGTCTCCACCCTCGCGCTCGGTGGACTGCGGAAACCCGGCCTTCGTGAAGGTGGCGTTCCCCCTCAAGCCTTCATTCTTGCATGGGGACTATGAACCTCGCCGTTTTCTGCAGAGCTTCATCCCTCCGCCAGACCGAATGGAGATAAGTTCGGCCGCCTCGGAAGACCTCGCCTCCACTCTCTTGCTCGAGTTGGGCTCAGTAAGCATTCTTTGCTAGGGTATGACGTGCGTTTCTGCCCGACACTTAGATGGATTCTAACAAATTTTGCCGGATTTTCATTGTTGTTATAGGTGGCCATGCGCGCGCCAGAGCTGGTGGAGCGCTTCGAGTGGTATGTGGCGGAGAAGGCAAAAGGCGAAGAGGAGCTTCGGAGGTTGCAGGAGCACGTGGCTGGCCTCGAGGGGGAGCTTGCTGATGCCGAGGAGCGGGCTCGGGCTTCAGAGCGGGCTCGCACTGCTGCTGAGGAGAAGGTACGCCGCCTGGACGAGGAAGCCGAGCACGTGGTCGAGGCCTTTCAGACCTCCCCCGAGTTCGAGGAGGCAGCTCTCGCCCGCATGGACGATCTCCTGAAGATCTGGGCTCGAACTCCCGCCGGGCAACGTTTCCTCTTCAAAGAGGGGCAAGCCAATTACTCCATGGGTTTGCAACGGGCTCAAGAAGTCTTGCTAGAGCGGATCAGAGATGGGAAGGAGCTACCGAAGCCATGCGAGAACCCTGAGGAGTTTGACTCATCCATCTACTACTCCGAGGACGAGGACGAGGACGAGGACGCCACTGGCGGGGGTGAGGACACCGCTGGTAACTGAGCGCATCTGGGTCCACCGATAAATTCCACCCTTAGTTTTTTTATGTACTGTTTGTTTTTTTTTGTGCTCGAACAATGTATTTTGCACTGCGTAACTATTACCCTTGACTCTTTGTGGTTTGCGATGCCTTTATCGCCTTTCTTTGATTCTGAGTCGCATTTTCTTGAATAAGTTTTGGAATCGGAACGGCCGTTTGGTGGAATGTTTGGGCTCGCTAATGCGGAGCCGTGCTCACGCTTGCGCTCGCCCAATCATAGACGTGCTAGCCTCGCCTCACCGCCTAACCGAGGACGAGCGCAGGTTCGCCTTATCCGCGTAGTGCTCTGCCCAAACACCTTGGTCTTGGTGCCTTTGCCCACCGGTTCATTCTAAGGCATTCGCGCCGTGTACTAGCCCCTTTTTCCGGGATGAATAAGATATGACTCTGATTTTATGTCTTGTTTTTTAGTCATTATTTTGAGCGTGAACGTTTGACCTCCATCCGGGTATGGCCTGCGCTCGGCTTCCCTCCCAGGGAGGAGCGCCGAGCGCGGATGTTTGACCTTCGTCCGGGAAGAACATCCGGGTATGGTCTGTGCTCGGCCTTCCTCCTGAGGAGGAGGAGCGCCGAGCACGAGTGTTTGACCTCCATCCGGGAAGAACATCCGGGTAGGGTCTGCGCTCGGTCTTCCTCCTAAGGAGGAGGGCCGAGCACGAGTGTTTGACCTTCATACGGGAAGAACAGCCGGGTATGGCCTGCGCTCGGCTTCCCTCCCAGGGAGGAGCGCCGAGCACGAGTGTTTGACCTTCATCCGAGAAGAACATCCGGGTATGGTCTGCGCTCGACCTTCCTCCTGAGGGGGAGCGCCGAGCACGAGTGTTTGACCCTCATCCGGGAAGAACATCCGAGTATGGTCTGCGCTCGACCTTCCTCTTGAGGAGGAGCGCCGAGCACGTGTGTTCAAGCAAGCTCTTTTCGCAAAAAAAAAAACACTTCCATTGAGCTCAACCGAAAAGATCTGCGGGTTCCCATTTTGGGGTCCGTGTACATCAGAAGTCTACTGATAAAACTTAACTAAGTTCTCGGCATTCCACGTTCTGGGCACGTCCCCTCCGCTCGGCGTCTGCAGGCAGAATGTCGAAGGTCCCACCACTTCTTTGATGATGTATGGGCCTTCGTAATTTTTGGCGAACTTTCCTCCTTCTAGGAGGCGACTCACTGCCCTCTTGCGCAGCACCCAATCTCCTTCAATGAACCCCCGCTCGCGCACGCGCCCATCATGGTAGCTCTTCACCTTCCTTCGGTAATTCTCCGCCCGTATGAAGGCCGCTTCTCGTTTTTCATGTACGAGGTGGAGCTCGGCTGCCAGGGCTTCCTCATTGCGCTCAGGGTCAAAGACCTCTTCCCGGTAGGTTGCGATGGAGATCTCTGTGGGTGCCCTTGCCTCGAATCCGTAGCATAGAGCGAAAGGAGTTTCCCCAGTTGCCCTTCGGGGCGTGGTCCGGTAGGTCCATAAGATATAGGGCAACTCCTCTGCCCACTCCCCTCCACAAGCTTCCAACTTTCGCTTCAGCCCATCGACTATCGTTCGGTTGGCGTTCTCGACCTGCCCGTTTGTCTGCGGGTACCCAACCGACGCATAACTGTGCTTGATCCCCCAACTCTCGAGAAAGTCATCAAAGGGCTTGGACTCGAATTGTGTTCCATTGTCTGTGATTACGTGCTCGGGAACGCCGAAGCGGTAGATGACTTGCTTTGCGAGAAACTTCTGGCATTGAGCTCCAGTGATGCTTGCCAATGGGGCCGCCTCCACCCACTTGGTGAAGTAGTCAATGGCTACAATGACGTAGCGCACGTTCCCGGTACCTCTAGGAAGCGCACCCACGAGGTCCACCCCCCACCGCGCGAACGGGATAGCTGTGCTGATGGGGGTATAGTTTGTTGAAGGTCTCACTGGTACCCTCTGGAACTCTTGGCACACCTTGCACTTTCTCACAAACTCCGCGCAATCCTTAACAATTGTTGGCCAAAAATATCCTTGGAGGGTTACCTTCCTTGACACCGCGTAGGCTCCTTGGTGGGCGGAGCAGATCCCCGCGTGCACCTCCTCCATGACCTGCTCCGCTTCAGCTGGTCGGAGGCACCTGAGCAGCGTACCATTGTATCCTCTCTTGTATAGCTTTTCGCCCTCCAAAGTGTACCCAGGTGCCCTTGTCTGGACCAACTTGGCCTTTATTGCATCGTCCGGGAGGGCGCCATCCTTCAAGAAAGCAACTATGTCGTCCATCCAATCTCTTGGCCGAGCACAGATCATCGCCACGGGGAAGGCATGGATGCTCGGCTCGGATAACTCTTCCACGTTCGCCATCCGCCTGATGTGCTCGGGCGTGTCCGAGCTCAGCTTCGACAAGATATCCGCCTCGGCATTCTCCGCCCGAGGGATCTGCTCCACACTATACGCGGTGAAACTCTTAAGTAACTCTAGAGCGGTATCTCTGTACTTCTTCATTCTTTCGTCCTTCGCCTCGAACTCTCCCGAGACGTGGC